CTGCGGGAAAAGGAAAACAAAGATAAATTAAAATGAAGATCAAACACTCAAATAATATACAAAAACAGGTTTTACTTCTAAAACTGTGATACAACAACAAACCTTCTGTAAAATAACAGCAGCTGCAACAGTCATGAACACAACTTACTTTACGACTACACGACCCGTTCACATCCCAAAAGTCTCGCAATCAAGCAAAAAAACAACAACAAAAACAAAAGTCCTTGAGCATCCTAACCACCGCTAAGTCCTTCGCACATTCCCAGGCCATTACAAAAATGACGAGAGCGAACTCAAAAGAAAAAAGCCCTCAGTCGAGGCACATCAAGCCGCATTGAGTCACCGCAGCGGCTGGCGTAACAGCGGACTCGTAACTGTCAACAAAATCCTTCCCGCACCTGAAGGGCGTAAGTTCAAGCGCAGTCAAATGAGGATTGGTGAAACGCGGACGAAATGTGATGTTTATCCCCCGGCTCATGGAACACTCAAGCACTTTCTGTAAGAGTGAAGACTTGATGACAGTGAATCCACTTAAGCACAAAAATGCATTGATGTGGTTGATATTTTATACTGAGTGAAGGACAGCCTGGCGGGGAGAAGAGAGCTTAGCTAGAGTTGGAATTGGGAAGGAAAAGAAAGGAATAGGGACAGAGAGAGGGAAGGAAGGTGGGGAATAGAGAGGGAGCGAGAGGGAAGGAAGGAAGGGAATAGAGAGGGAGAGAGGGAAGGAAGATGGGGAATAGAGAGGGAGAGAGGGAAGGAAAGGACAGGAATTGGGGCTGAGAGAGGGAAGGAAGGAAAGGAATAGAGACGGAGAGAGATAGAGAAGGTAGGGACTAGAAAGGGTGAAAAGGAAAGAAGGAAAGGAATAGGGACGGAGAGAGGGAAGGAAGATAGGGAATAGAGAGGGAGAGAGGGAAGGAAGGAAGGAATGGATAGAGACGGAGAGGGAAGAAAGGAAAGGAATAGATAGAGACGAGGAATGGATGGATGGATGGATGGATGGATGGATGGATGGATGGATGGATGGATGGATGGATGGATGGATGGATGGATGGATGGATGGATGGATGGATGGATGGATGGATGGATGGATGGATGGATGGATGGATGGATGGATGGATGGATGGATGGATGGATGGATGGATGGATGGATGGATGGATGGATGGATGGATGGATGGATGGATGGATGGATGGATGGATGGATGGATGGATGGATGGATGGATGGATGGATGGATGGATGGATGGATGGATGGATGGATGGATGGATGGATGGATGGATGGATGGATGGATGGATGGATGGATGGATGGATGGATGGATGGATGGATGGATGGATGGATGGATGGATGGATGGATGGATGGATGGATGGATGGATGGATGGATGGATGGATGGATGGATGGATGGATGGATGGATGGATGGATGGATGGATGGATGGATGGATGGATGGATGGATGGATGGATGGATGGATGGATGGATGGATGGATGGATGGATGGATGGATGGATGGATGGATGGATGGATGGATGGATGGATGGATGGATGGATGGATGGATGGATGGATGGATGGATGGATGGATGGATGGATGGATGGATGGATGGATGGATGGATGGATGGATGGATGGATGGATGGATGGATGGATGGATGGATGGATGGATGGATGGATGGATGGATGGATGGATGGATGGATGGATGGATGGATGGATGGATGGATGGATGGATGGATGGATGGATGGATGGATGGATGGATGGATGGATGGATGGATGGATGGATGGATGGATGGATGGATGGATGGATGGATGGATGGATGGATGGATGGATGGATGGATGGATGGATGGATGGATGGATGGATGGATGGATGGATGGATGGATGGATGGATGGATGGATGGATGGATGGATGGATGGATGGATGGATGGATGGATGGATGGATGGATGGATGGATGGATGGATGGATGGATGGATGGATGGATGGAGATAGAGACGGAGAGGGAATAATTATGGATGGATTGATGGAGGGATGAATGCATATATGGATGGATGGATGGATGGATGGATGGACCGACGGACAGATAAATAAATTATTGGATGGTTGGAGAAAGGAAGAGAGGAAGAAGGGGAGGGGAGAGGAGACGAGAAGAAATGAGGTGGAGAGAAGAAAGAGGAAACTGAACAGAGTGAGTACAAAGAGAGGAAAAGAGAGAGATGGGTGCTGAGGCAGCCGAGGGAATGACAGATTATGAGAGATAAGGGGAATACGTTACTGTGGAAGCCATAAAACTCCAACCTGTACTCGCATACCCCCCCCCCTCATCCCAGCCAACACCCCCACCGTAGAGAGGGGAAGGGAGGGATAGATGACCTTAGAGAGAGAGAAAAAAAGTCTGCCCCCAGAGCCCCCGTCCAGGTGGCTCGACCCGAGGAAGCCAGGCTTGATTCCCTTTGGTCTCTAAGTCTCGCACCCTGTCACAAACACACAAACACATACGCATACTATAAATGTATGGTTAATGTGTGCAATCCCCTACACACCTTAACATACGTGCATAAATAAGCGCACACCCACTTAAACGAACATGTATACATACATGGATACGGCACACACACACATTTACACATACAAACATACATGCGCAAATATGCAAAAACCTATCAACAGGTGAAACTCGTCCCTCGGACCAAAGCCTTCTTTATCCCCCCCCCCCCCCCCGCTTGGAAGCACGGGAGTACAGTCAGAGTACATAAAACCCTACACGAGCAGCCGACGCGCACCTGAATCCGCGTCCCCCAGAGCGAGGCGCAAGTTCCCCGCGAGGGTTCATTAGGCGAGGGGATGCGGCGGCAGGTGAGACTGCGGGGGGAGGGGCAGATCGCTGCAGATAACAAGCTGATGATGCGGTTAGAAGCCCCGCCTTCTCCACCCCACCGGCCCCATCCTCCTCCTTCGTCTCTCCCGCCCTCGTCCCACCTGCCAGGGTGAACTTAGGAACTGCAAATAGCTGGTATGCCGGAAAGGGGAAAGCCTGTGGCTACTACGCCCGGTCACGCGAGGTCAAAGCAGTAGCCTATATGCATTAGAACAGACGTGAGACAATCTGCACTTTACCCGATTTTTATATTTTACTGGTACTGGAATCAAAATCTAGAGAGTTCTTTATTCAAAACTGTGTATCTATAATAAATTTCTAGCTATGAGGAATTCTCAACTGTCTAAGACACTATCGTACAATATCTATATTTACAGGATACATTTTGAAGCCACACATTTTTACAATGCATTGTACTCATGTGCGCACCTTATTGAATGAATGCTCCTTTCCCTCGCCATTTGAGTGTGTTGTATTTTGCGTAAACTCAAGCACATGTGCATTCGAGCGTTCATGTTTATGATATATGTCAAGGAATATATACAACTGAGGAGGTTTGGTTGGTAAACAACATGAGTCACCCTCTCCCCCTCTGCCTCACTGACTATCTTCAATTCTCACTTTATTGAAAAAATACGATTCTCTGTGCTCATTTCATCTAAATGAAGATATCAACCGTTGTCAAAAGTTACATTGCGGTCTTTGATCTAACCCCCTACCACACATACTCATTCACTCAGTTACTCATTTTTGCACACATACACAAATTATATAATACAGGGTTCTCTCTCTCTCTCTCTCTCTCTCTCTCTCATATATGTGTGTGTGTGTGTGTGTGTGTGTGTGTGTGTGTGTGTGTGTGTGTGTGTGTGTGTGTGTGTGTGTGTGTGTGTGTGTGTGTGTGTGTGTGTGTGTGTGTGTATGCGTGTGCGTATGTATGTGTGCGTGTCCCTTGTATATGTATTTGCAGCCACATCCCATACGACACTAATAGAGTGAATGATGACTGTGGGCGGGTTTAACACTTCCCCCTTCTTGGGTTACAGATAGACGCGGACACACAGAGAGCAGCGGAACACGACACCCCACATTCGCCCACGCCCACGCCCACACGATCGACAAGTAAGACTTAACCACTCACGGTTAAGAAAAGAAATGAGAGAGAATGAAATGCAACTCGAGCTGGCCGTTATGCCGCTCCGTTGCCATCCCCGTTAGCAGAATCATCATTGCAATTTTCACGTACAGCTTCACCTTGCGCCACCGAGCATCATTATTCCTGAACCCCCTTCTCCCTAGAATACCCCATGTCTACCCATACCGCCCCTTCCCTACCATCAACCCCCCTTCGCTTTATTACTCAATTAGGCCTAATAACCAAAAAAAATTATGCAGACACGCGCACCCGATAAAGGTCTCTCTATCTGCCAGCTTAATTACACTCGTCTAATCATTAACGCAGCCTCTCAAAGCCTCATAATGACCGGTGGATTTCAGAGCCAAACATGGAACGCGATGACGTCACTCCCAGCTTCCTAGGACCTCCACCCCGACTGCTCGCCCCCACCCCTCCCCGACCACTTCCGCTCCCTTACATGGCAAGGTCAACGTCACTCGCCAGGTACGTGACTCATCGTTCACAAACATGTAGATAATGGCTTTGGAAAATTATTTTTGAGTCAGTAACAAGAAATGAATAGGTTGTTGTATTCTTAAGTGGACAGGCCTATATATGTTCTTTGTTTCCATTTTCACTAGTCTATGTAGAGGAAGGAGGGAGGGAGGGAGGGCGAGAGAGAGAGAGAGAGCGAGAGAGAGAGCGAGAGAGAGAGCGAGAGAGAGAGCGAGAGAGAGAGAGAGAGAGCGAGAGAGAGAGAGAGAGAGAGAGAGAGAGAGAGAGAGAGAGAGAGAGAGAGAGAGAGAGAGAGAGAGAGAGAGAGAGAGAGAGAGAGAGAGAGCGAGAGAGAGCGAGAGAGCGAGAGAGCGAGAGAGCGAGAGAGCGAGTGAGCGAGAGAGCGAGAGAGAGAGCGAGAGAGAGAGCGAGAGAGAGAGAGAGAGAGAGAGAGAGAGAGAGAGAGAGAGAGAGAGAGAGAGAGAGAGAGAGAGAGAGAGAGAGAGAGAGAGAG